CACGTATTGATATGCCAAATTTATGCAACTATATTATAATATTGCCATGCCATGTGCTGTGTCTATTGTAACATGGCTTATAATAATATAGTCCCTTTATGCAGAAATAACTGTTGTTATTATCGCAGTAGTCGGGGACAATTCGCAAATATTATCGGGAAATGAATTTCATTAGCATATTATAGTACAGAGATGACTGGTAGTGGTTCCGTTGATCGGCTGAAATTCGAGAAATCATGTTTAAAAAATGTTAAATATTTGAAAATTAATTGTTTATGAACCAGATCCAATACAACGCTGTACACTGTACATTATATAATTAAACCTATTTGTACCAATAATTTAATATATGAATATGGACAATAATCACATAATAATTCTGTTCTCAGCACAATATGTGTTTGAATTTGTCATAACCAGGAAGTGGATTTATTAGAAATTTATTTTTTCTTTTAGAAGACGCTAATATATTAATCTAAAAAATGGCGAATTAATAAATAAATGACATAAATGTGCGTAATTTTCTACATAAAAAGTGAAACATACGTTTGTAATTACTCTACCTGTATGCTTTTATATTTATTTTATTTAGCAGCAAGTTTTTTATTTTTCCTTCTCATAATTTTATGTGTATAATGTATAGCCAATCGTTTTATGTAAGGAAGAAGGTTAGTATAAGGAAGTATCATATTCATATAGCTTTGTGGAAGAAATATAAAATTCTTTTTTGTTTTTGTACAACCGTATAATATTATAGTTAATAAATACATGTTATTATTGTAATTTTATTATTTAGAAATATTTACTGACAAATTTAATTTAATTTATCAAATCTAATAGGTATCATAAAATAATATATAGTTTTTAAACTATTTGATGTTCGCGCGTAAAATATATTTTTCATGGTATTTTGTATTATCTGAGCATATCAGATTTTGCCTAGCTATAAATATTTATAATGGGAACATCTATGTAAGGTTATTATTTAGAAAACAATTAATTAACAACATATTATTATATAATTTAGATGTATTAACTTTCTAAAGTTTTTGATAATAGTAATATTAAAAATAACATACATTTAGGGGCGAATTCATATAGATAGTATAGAAAATAACGAACAGGTAGAAATATTAATAGCTTACAGTATAACGCTGGAATACAGTATTTAATAACAAGTTACAGTAATAATAGTAGTTTATTTAATCACTGTTAAAATGGCAAACTTTATTGATGATAAATTAAAACAAACTTTTTGCAAAAGCCATGCATTATAATAATAACCTTTTCTCTGACTTTTCTACTGTTATGACGTATCGTGTTCTATTTGTACATTTCCGTTTGAGTTATTGTATAAATAAATACTATGGAGTGCGATTATTAATAAATCGTCCTGGGGATTTGCAGAAGAAGTGTATTGAGCAGACAGTGTGCTCGTGTGCATTTTAACGACTGCAAAGCCATTTTAGAGCACTGTAATTCTATTCCATCATAATAATTGAAGTAACAAATCACACAACACAATGTTCCTCCTAAACCAACTTGTATTTTATAATCATATAATCGTTCCGGTATTATAATCTATGACATTTGTGCCTCATACACATGCAAATATACACGCACACACCCAACATAATATACCCCTAGCAGTGGTGGAGAGATAATATTATTTAATTAAATATTTGACAAAATATGTAGATAAATATTGTGTATAGGTAGATACGCTTTACCTATAATTGATATTATTACCTAATTAGGTAAACGAATAAAACGTTAATCGACAAATAGGTTGTTCGAAAAAAAATTTGATTACTCAATCCGATGGGACACTTCAGTAATTGATATCAGGATGCATTGAAACCCTAAACGTTTTCTCGGTTCTAGTCAGTTAGGTTTGGAAGAAGGCAAAGAATATAGTTTAACAATAACTATATGCGACAGTTAGTTAAAATCCTTGAACGCGGTAGGTATGTGAAATATTAGACTAGCCCCTTAAAGTTCACCAGACCAGCACTATCGGCAAACATGTTGCGACGTCTCGTGGAGTCTTTGGACAACGATTTGAACCGATTTTGAGAGATAATATAAGTTTATCGAACTATTTAACCTTTATATTCGTAGACAATACATTTGTCTGGTTTAAACTCGACTCGTGACAATACAAATTATAGTACCTAATCGAGGCCCGAGTTTGATCTAAGCTTAGGTAAATTTGTCGATTAATAACAGGTGATGTCAAAACCGTAAAGCCCAAGCGTTAAGTTTCAGTCGAGTTGCGGTTTGCGACGGTTAAAAACTTTTTGCTTTTTGTACATTATACATTTTAATAACGCTAACAATTATTTATTTATTCGTAATTTGAATATTCCGATATTCGTACGGTAAAACGTGCCGAGTGTTGACCGGGCGAAAGCGTTCGATTAAACATTTTGTCGATTCGATTGTAATTTATTCATTTGGGATCACTACGGTTTGGTCAGATCCAAAGCCCAGAAGTATGGGAGGGAGGATGAAGCCGAAGATAGGCCTTTATTATCCCCCAGCCAGTCGAACACGAACACCAATCCTCCTAATTGAATTTACTTTTATTTTATTGATTTGAGTAATTAGTGCGATTTAATAATTTAGTACCAATCCCCAAGATATAGTATGTATAACAGGTGCCGGTTCACTACTAAAATGTCCATAATATCATCCTCCACTTGAGTGTGCGAGGAGAGATACTCTTCTCTCTCAAAACGTGTTATATCCTTGAGGCAATGACCTCGAAAAACGAGGTCACAAGCACCACGTTTGCTTATCTAAGTACCTATACAACATATGCGCGAGATGCGCTCGGGATTACCGCAAAATGTACATAACAGTTCAGAATTGTTACACTACGTGAAACGTGCCTAAACATATATTTTGCTTAGCCGAATGAAATGTGCACTGTGGGAAAACTGATGACTATGCCTCATTCGCCATGCCATCATATTACGTACATTATTGTCTTAAACGCACAGACCCTAAAAATGATTTCTTACCGTTTATATTTTTTCCCCGGTCATTCCACGAAAAATCGTTTCGACCGGCAGGTTAAGTTTAACGTTATTTTTATTCATACTCGACATTTTATCTCGTCTGTTGTGCGTTTAAAGCTTAACGAAGCGAATCGCTCAAACGTATTTATGAGTACCTACCCACTGCCAATCTAAATAATCGAGAAACGGATATTGTTAACAACGAGCAAAATCGGGATGCAGGTTATTGTATTTATTATAATGTAAGTATTATAATTTATATTTCATAAGTAACGCATTATCATAATATCTGATTCGAGTGAGTATTGATTGTGTGTATAAGAGTGACGATTAAATAGAGTAACGTTCAATAGCGAGAACAATTACAACCTGCAGTATTATAATTATTTGGTGAATTACTCAAAAAGATAATATTAAATATATTATAATCCTTTCTAATAACGAAGAAGGATGAGATTAAATCCTTCAACATTTTCATACACAAAGCCGGTGTTATGATAAGTACGAGTACGCCGCTGTGCACGAAAGACGAAATGTATAGCTGTAGTATAAAAATGTATGTAATAATAATTATTATTTTTGCATAAATCCTGGATTTTCGTTACGCGATATTAAAGGTCGCAGTACCATATAATATGTTCTAAATGTCCACCATTTTGGTATACAAAAAAAAATGGTTTAACCTTTCATAACACTTTTCGGTTCGGTTGAAAAAAACATGTACCCAATGAACTCATTGCCCTACCTGTTGTTTGTGCTGACAATACGGTTACACTAACTATACATCGATACTGTAATAATATAATGATGTAGTTGTGCACTTGAGCAGTAACGTGATCGTTATAATCGCAATTACATTTTATTTCTAAAATATGTGTGCCACTCACTTTTCATGAATTCTCATGAAGTATTAACACGAAACAAGATGGGAAACAGACGCAGTGATCTTCCCTTTAGCGCTGATAGACGATAGTATATTACTATGTATGGTTCATACCACACAAAGTGGTTGAATGACGTGCAGATCATTAACATTTTATTGTTCATTATTTTTAGGAATTTTTTTTATCGAGTGCATAATATTTGCTGTACCTACCTACTTTGTCGCGATTTTTTTTTGTTCTCACTATTCAATAAAATTGTATAGTAGGCCTCCACTACTCATAAATTAATAACTCATTATAATTCCAATACTACAATAACAGCAAATAATAAGACCTACGTAATTTGTTTTGGATGATTATTGTCTTCGTAATATGATTGCGTATATGAACATACTATGCCATAAGGGATAAACACATATTACAGTTCAACATATCATGCACGACTAACAATATTAGCAATCAGAAATCATGTGCTCTCGTTATCCGCTCAATTTTCCTGTAATTTAACCTGCCCCGTGTATGACGAGAGATTACTGCGTGTATTATGGACGTTTCATAATTCACCTTTAAAATGTATTGATCGATTATTTTTCACATTACTGGTAACGATGACACAAAGCATACGTTTTATCGATCCGATTTCCGGAGTGCTTGTAAACAATTAGTTTGATATAAGACTCAGCGGGGTCGGTTGTTTAACGGGTGTCCGTCGGCGGTTAGCACAGTTATTCGGAATGAAAACGCTCAGCGGGCAGCTAAGTGGCAAGGGCCGTGAAATCGAAATCACAGTAACCGCAGTCAAGTGTCAGTGGCGGTGGTGTCAAAAACGCTAAAAAAAAGTTTAGAGTCTGTAACTTACAGTAGATGGTCGCTATAGAAAACTATTTTCAACACGACTTGAAATTGATCGAATTCGTCGCAATCAATATGGATTAAGGATTATAACGTTTTAAAAAGATGATTTTATAAATAATTAAATTTTTTTTTTTCATAAAACTATAGTCTACAATTTTACCGAAACAAAAATAAATAATATTATTCACTAATGATATTCACTATTTACATGACCTGCAGTTGTTAATTTACTAGAAAAATGGTCTCTAGACAGTGTGGTGAGTGAATGTAGCTAGATTATCTAACCAGGACGCCGTGTTACCGCACTCATGACGTATAAATTCAATTAAAAATAATAAACATACCTAAGCCTGAATAAGGTACAGTTTAAAATTTAAAATATTAAAATAACATGATAGTTATATTATTATGTAAATAAATTATGTTCAGATACCTGGTAAATGTTTTTTGTGATGGTATGTCGTTTCAAAAAACAAAAATTGATTCCTGAAGCACTAGCTTAGTATAGCAGTATAGTACACAATATTTAGTGCAGGGTAGCCTTGTATAATATTATACGAATAAAAATAACAAATGTTTATCATTAAATAAGAGCTCAATACTCTCGTGTATTTATGTACTCGAATATTGAAATAATGAAATTTAATTACTCGGTGGAAATTAATTTTTGGATGAAATTTATTTACGAAGTTTACTGGTCGAATCGTCTTGTAAACTGTTTTGTTTCTCTTATCTATACCTACGAAATAATATTACAAAATTATAATACGTCTTATTGGCTTGTAGCCAACCGCCTCTGCGAGTACCTCTAAAATTTATTTTTATTCACCGTTAAATCCATTGCTAATCTGATTTTACGTGTACGACATTACTGTTATTATACAAAGACATTAACGTCGAAAGTATACAATACATTAAATTCGTAAGGATCTTTAAATCGTGAACAACGAAACATAGCCATATTTCTTCAGTATAGAAAATATATAAGATATTAGTATAACTTGTTCTAAGGAGAGAGCTGAGAGAAATATTAGATTTACAAAGATGTCTTTTTTTTTCTTTTTTTTTTTTGTACACCTATACTGGTTTTTTTTCCTGAAAACACTTTTGGGGGTAGTAAAAAAAGCTCAAAAAGTTCCATGCAGCACTTTTCTAGATTGGAAATGGAACACAAATATGGCATTTACCTTAAAAGTATTTTTTTTTTTTAGTTTAGTTTTCTCTTAGTGGTTTTCAAGGAAATAGCGAATAACTGCGGTGAACGTTTACGATAAATAAAGTATATATTATATTAGATATATGTGTACAATATAATAGCTTGTTTTTAGACGAAATGTTGACTGTTTTCTGGTGAACTCAGCTCTGCACGGAATAGTTTTTCGAATAATTTATCATTGCTTTCGAATACGAAGACACTCTAACCTAACCGCCGTGTGGCCCAAGCCAACCGCAGTGCAGCTATTTATTATTTTAATATTTTGTTGTTACCAATTACAGACAATATTTTTCTAAATTTGTGTACACACATTTTTTATTTAATTGGATACGACTTAATTTTTGGTGTTTAATGCTAGCATTTTTATAGTTTTTTATTTTATTTAATACGACCTATTCAAAAACTTAAAACCAAATATTTTATATTTTAATTAATTCCCAGTAAAATCAGAATTATTATAATTATTTATAACCAGAAATGAATTATATAATCTATTATTCATCGTGAATTTGATTTTATATTAAATATCAAATAAAATGTCTCGAAAGTTATGCCTTTCAAAATGTGTTTTCCCAATTATTTTTTTTTTAATAACAACGTAATACGTTTCATAATACATTGTAATAATACAGTCATTTCGTTTTCATCAAACTAAATGGAATTGTATATTGGTAATAGAATACATGTATTAAGCTCTTGAAATGTATTAATTTGTATTCAGTATAAATTATTTCTTCAGTCGCTTTATTGCTACGGAAATTAAATGTATAAACATTCGAAGTATAACCATACCGTATAATTAAACACAAATACCATGCAATCTCTTATAAAATGGAGTGAATATTGATTGTCATTTTACACAGTAATAATTTGTCAAATCGAAAACTCTCGTTTTGCTTGTACAATATGTATGCCTACATGTATATATTTACCACAGTCACACAGAGTGAGATTATTTTAACGGAAAATATTCATTTTTATCCGGAAAACTTTGAACTTTTTTCGAAATTGTCCTTAAGTAAAATGTTAGCGCATGCAATTTAATCTAATATACGCGTTGTTTTTGCCCTCTTTTTGTATTTATTAATTTTTTTGTGTTAAATCTTAGGATGGGGCGACTGGAGTGATTGGTCGGCATGCAACGTGTCGTGTGACACCGGCCTGCAGTATCGGCACCGACGTTGTCTGAAGTGCGGGCAAGGGCACAACAAAGAAATGCGAAAGTGCAACGATTTCCCGTGCGACGGTATGAATATCACTGCATTAGTTACATAGTTGCATTATGGTTTGACGACATCGCTTCAACGACAAAAACAATTGTGTTACCGCCTTTTGATCTAACAATTTCGGTAAACAGGTGTCATGGAACTGGTTGCGCCGGGCGACCGCGTGCGCACCGTCGGTGGTAAGCTGAACGGTAGCGAAAATGGGTTCAGTCTTCTCGACGCAGTCGGCTTCACGAACACGTTTTCACTGTTGATCACGCTGAGAGTACAACCAAAGGTAAGTGATCATTATTTGTGATTTAAACATATAACAATATTATATATTATAACAATATCCAATACACTCTTCGCGCCTTTAGGACTTGATAGTGTCTTTAGTCTTATAGTTGTGAGCATTCGTGTGGCGTACCTCAACTAAATTGAACAAAATATTATAGGTACACATACTAATTAATGAAAAAATATTTAAATAATATTAAAACGAGAGATATGGTTCACGCAGTAACTAGGTACACCTTATTTGATAACCTCGAATATATGTTATTTAACCATCGTTTAGAAAACGTTTGAATTCTAGTTCCGGCACAGAATCAAAATACCTAAAAATGTCGTCTCTAAATTATATAGGTATTATTCTTTAAAATATCTAAAAATATTTTGGGTCTATGATAGCAAATTTTTTCGTTTCTAGCCCCAAACTTGGAAATTTAGTTTTTTCTTCTCGGTTAGAGTAAATACCTGCACCTATTATGTAAAAATGCGAACTGGTATTGTTATAATATGCACTGATCATTATTAATAACGTTGACTACAAAGTTTACAGTAAAGTAGCTATAGAAGCTGAGTTTTATTGTTAATTAAATTAATTAATTAAATTTAATGACCAAGTACATAACTCATGTTTTAATAACAATAAAATAACGTTTTTTAAGCTTTAATACTTAGGTAGGCATCTAATGTCTCGTAATACCCATGTAAATGCACTCTACATTCTGTACCTATTGAAGTGTCCAAAAAAAAAATTCTAAAAATAAAATATGTCAGTTTTAATTATGCTGTCATAACATATTTAACTTATTAAAAATCAAATTTAATGTGAATGACGTCTATATTGATAATAATAAGTAATAATATTACCAACAATTAATTTATCAACAATCATAGATTAGATTTTAAATTTTACGTGGCAAATTTATACATTTTGTTTATAAATAAACTCATAATTTGTTTGCCATTTATTTAAATAGCTTTTTTTGTTAAATACCTAATACTGAAATCTCAAAATCATTGTTATCGCCCGTTGTTTACATCAGTAGCGTTCAACCAGTGTTAGTTAATACCATATACCTAACTAAGCATACAATAATTATAATTAATACTGTAACTACTATTATAGTAAAAATACTATTATAATTTTTGAAAAAAAAACATATTTTAATAATTTTAAGTCGTTACAAAACAACATTTTTGTAAAACAATATTTTTATTAAATTTTTACTTTTTTTAATAACAACATCGGTAATAGGTAGGTAAAATTGTAATTTCTTAGTATAAATCACAGTGTATCGATGTAAGTGTACATTGATGTATAAAAATCAAATTTGGAAGAGTATTTTATTAGTATTAATATTTAAAAGTATCAAAAGTTTTGATAAGTGGGGTGGAGTGGCATACCCCGTAAAATGACGGTCTACTATAATAATCCTATATCATCTAAACTTTAAATACATACCTATAAGGCTATAACAACTACTAAATTAGTCGTCGAAGTATAATTTTTTTATAAAAATTAATTGGATAATATTTTACTTTATAGGATATGAAATTATGAATTAACGTTATCATTAAAAAAAATAATATTTATAACGACAAAAAATTGTAAAAAATGTTGTTTTACAACGACTTGTAATTATTTTAAATAATGAGTGTCTTAAGCAAAGTGAACGACATATATATTATGCATGTACGTAATAATATTATGATGTAGTACATATTAAAAGTGTCGTGTTGTGTAATACATGTCGTTGACGTATTGTATATATTATGGCATTGACAGAAATTGGTTTGTGCTTATAGGTATAGGCTCTCGATGCATAAAAGTCTTCCAAGTCCTTTCAACACTCAAAAAGAAAAAAACTGTTGAAAAATAATTGTTGTATTTTTAATAATGAATATTTTCCGTAAAAAATGCTTAGAAAAAATTCTTAGAAAAATTGGAAAATAAATGTAATGTAAAAATTCGCATTTCCCTTTAGTTGCTCTCTTTAACGACAACTGCTGCTATGGGTTTAAAAATAAATTTGAAAAATATACGTAGAAAAACACTATCTATCATAGTAGGTATAATATTTTTTATTTGTTATTGTTAACGATTTTTTGGTAGATATTTTATTTATTTTTAATTGCATTTTCAACCAGAAGTTATTACTTCCCGGAAATTATGGAAATTAGAAGATAAGTTAATTACATTATTTTACAAATCAGTTGACTTTAAATAATTATAAAATATGACTAGTTATTAGCTATACATAGGTAGTGATAGGTGAGTGATTTTTAAATAATAATAACAAATTCGATGAGGTATTAACGACTTCAATTATTTTCGGAGTACACGATGTTATTCTATTATTGACTATGGAACGTCTATTATAAAATAAATATATAAATACAGCATTGTAAATTGATTTAATGTTATAATTTGTTAGATCTTAGTTGAGAAAGAAATTTTGATGAATTCAATGTTAGTAGTTTTAGGTTAACTTTCGGGTTTAGGACTATAAGTAACAGAAGCATATAATATCGGTCTAACTAAAAATTGGAAAAGGAATTTTGATGAATTCAATATTAGAATTTTTATGTAGACTATTAGGTTTAGGACTAGACGTATAACAAAAGCATATAATATATTATTATGACGAATTGGGCTGATGACATTCCTAAATGGAGTAAATAGCTCAGAAGATTTTTCTTTAAGATAAGGAGTATTTTTATGACAGTTGAAATGATTTTTTCCCCTGTCCTTAAGAATATATATTTGAAGACTGGGCATCCTCGTGACCGATGTATCCGTGTATGGAATATTCAGTGAACAAATCATAAATCATTAATCATTATGAACCTATATGTATATAACATAGTATACTCTTGCATATTATGTGATTTTTAGCAGATATTATGAAAATCATTTATCAGTATTGGCAACAATGTAGACATTATAATATCTATACAATATGAAAACTGGAATGAAGCAATTATAAATTCTTAATACTAAAATAATTTAATAAATTGGTAGGTAGTCGGCGTTTCGAAGCATATTGTACAATATTATAATCGATTTGGAATATTCTGCAGTGCGTAGTGGGAACGAAACGAAATTATGTAAATTAGCAGAGGTGAGAAATTTAAAATTACCTTTTATTTTCAATAGATGAAAATCGAGTAACTTTCGGAAATCGTTATAATATTATAATATGACGGTAGGCTGTCAGATATTTTAAACAGAACTACTTATACAATCTGCATGTATACGCTCTGATGTTGTCATATACCTAGTATGTATTATTCAAACATGACTTGTATCACTCATCAAATGAACTTTATTTAAAATTTTCGAAGTTGAATAACCGTCACATATAATATTAGTGTATTATTATAATGCCCTTTGCAGTGCACTCACCTTCCACTCATAACTAAATAAATTAGTATGACCATCGAGTGTTCATTGCGGACCCATTCCCAATGATATTTTACAAATATAACATATTGAATACATCTATAAAATGTGTCGATCTGGAATGTTAAGCAATTTCACACTTTGATTAAATTTAAATATGTTTATATCTTTCAGATACTCAGTGCATAATGTGCATTGCCAGTGCCTACATACTTATTATACATTTATACGAGGTGATTAAAAAAGTATGCTAACCCCGTGCTATTTCCTTTCATAATTAATTAATTTAAATAATGGTTTTTGGCATTTTTAAGTAAACTTATTCATCGTATTTTCAAGTACCTATGCCTACTAAGATTTTTATATTATTTAATGAGTATCCTAACGGTACTAACTTCTTTTTTTTCCAAATGGGAATCACAATTGTTCCCATACATAGATGATTTTTTTAAATTTTGATTATATATCCAAATCAGCTCAGAAATAACTTTAGATCAAAGTTCGATATAGATTCATCAACATTTGCAATAAAAAAACTTACTTAATAATTTAAAATAAAAAAGGTAGGTTATAGTCTAAAAAAAAGGTTGTACCGCAACAGGACTCTCCATGGTCTTGATAGATCTAAATATTTTTAATTATGATCCTTAAGTATGATCAAACATATTATTTTCGTCAATACAAATTTGATAAAAAAATTCACTATAGGTAAGAATTGATGAACATGTTCGGTAAATCAGGAATCATCCATAATCGACTATACATTATTTTCATTTTTGTGTTAATATCATAAGTCAGACGAACATTTTAATTTCTATCAGTTCAAAAGTTTAACATCGAACGCGTAGTATAATCCTTTTATTCTCTTACGTTTCGTTTTCAACACATTCAATGGGCACACATAGCCACTAGGTACAGATAAAATTAATCTTTTAAGATGAATGGGACTACCGCAACTGCTAAGGTTCTGTATAATAATTTCATTAAGTTCAAATAGCTATATTTTATACTTTTATAATATAAAGGTACGACAGTAAATATAATAATTATTATTGTCGAATTAATATCCGGTCTGCAAAACGTCACCTGCCGTTCCAACGACGGTTCATCCGTCGTAAAATAAAAAAAATACACATCATTTATATATTGCAATGTGTATAACACTTTAAACTACTGATAGGATACCTAAACTTTAATATTAATGTTATAATTCTCTCGTAAAACGAATGGGTCGCAATTCAAACAACTGCTCGACGCGCATTTTTTGTCTCTCCGATAACACCAACAACGTTGTATAATATATAAAAATAAAAGTAAAATAAAATACGCAATCAAAAATGAAAAAAAGTTTTCCGAGTTTAAATAAGTAAATAAGTAAATCATTCCTGTAGAATAATATAAAAACAGAAATTATAAAATCGTCTTTGTTTTCTCACGATGGTCATCAAAGGAAACATCGTCAAGACACGTCATATTATAATATAAAAGATATTATTTTATTTTGTTTATTTTTCAAATCCTTATTTGTAATTTGTCAAAGTTGCCCTACTTAAAATTTGAAACTTTTCTGAAAATTACAATTCGCATCATATTGTATAGTACAT